CTGCCTTCATCCCATGGACTCATCCAGCTCTGCCCCTTACCTGTCCCTGCACAATAGCCTTCAGCAAGGCAAGAACTGCATGTCGGGCCTCTGGTGGTCGCTCTGGCTGTAGCAAGTCTGAGACAGACTTCCAAAGTGCCTCCACTGCATGCTGCCACAACAGAAAGAGGCCAGTGATAAGGCTGTGATCTCCAAGAACCTCAGCCCCTCAATCAAAGGACAGCACTGGCGATCAGACTTTCAGACCATCTCAACCCAAGTCTCTCTCTCTCTCTTTTCTGGTTTTTTGAGACAGGGTTTCTCTGTGTAGCCCCGGCTGTCCTAGAACTTGCTCTGGTAGACCAGGCTGGCCTTGAACTCACAGAGATCCGTCTGCCTCTTCCTCCCAAGTGCTGGGATTAAAGCTGTGCATCTAGCAAAGTCTCTTTAACGGGCCCAGGTCAACAGGCTGGGCAAAGGAGAACAGGCAGGACAGGGAAGCAGTGCCAGCTTCCCCGAGACTGCCAGCGAGTTCCTAGTAGATCTCTTTGGACTCAACATCATAGTGCTCAGAATAAGCACAGATGAGCCCTAAACATGCACCTGCCACAGAAACTGCACTCTATGTTCCTGTGTGAGTTAGGCCCTATTAAATGTGAGGAGTCTACTTTGAGAGATCCGATGTGTGTGTGTGTTGCGGGGGTGACTCAGCTACAGCACGTACATCTTGGAAAACTGCTGAATACGTAGCAAGTCACTTTCCTTGGTGGATCTGCATCTTCTCCTAAATCTCACACACAAACACCAGGCATGGATTTTTGACTGCATCTTCCCCTGAATCTCACACACAAAACACTAAGTATGGATGTTGGAACTCTCAGGTGTCGCTTGGCACCTGACTTCCAGAAAGAAACTGCTTACTGGACACAGAACATCAAAAAAATCTGAAAATATTTAACCAAAATAAACCAGCTATTTGTTTTCCTGTGCTTGCAGCTGCTCTGGGCACGAGACACTCATGAGTTCCTGATGGCAGGGCAGTGGTTTCTGGTGGGCTTGCAGCTAAAAAGTCCTGAGAGCTAAGGAATGGCCATTAGTCAAAGAGAGCCCCATATAAGCTGCCCTGGAACACAATAAAATTGGCATTCTTGTTTCAAGATTGCAAAATAAGTAAATAAACAACAAACCAGCTATGTGTGTTCTGTTGCCTGGTGCCGTCAATCAGCTGTCTTTCTCAAACAGTAACCAAGACTGGGGAGCCTTGATTTGTCCTCTGAGGCCATACCCTAACCTGGTAACCCTTATTCAGTGTGCTGTAAGAGAAGTGAGAATGGAGCATTAGTTCAAGGCCAGCCTGGTCTACGTAGTGAGTGCTAGGTGAACCAGGACTACACAGAGAGTCCCTGTCTCTTTTCTTTTCTTGTTTTCTCTCAGATTTTCTTGTTTCTCTCAGAAAGTGTTTCCCTGTGTAACCCTGGCTGTCCTTGAACTCTGTAGACCAAGCTGGCCTCCATCTACCTGCCTTTGCCTCCCAAGTGCTGGGATTAAAGGAGTGAGCCACTGTCGCCGGGCACGGTGGGTACCTGTCTCAATCTCCACCCCAGCCCACCAAAAAAGTGGATGAGCAGACATGCATATCTATAACCCTTTCCAGGAATTCAGGGAAAATCCATTCCTTCTGCTGTCACCAAGTCAAATCTCTCAGGGTTGTGCACAGGTTACTTTCAGAAGCTTCCACATCACTAAGATGAACATTAAATGTCTCTAAAATGGTAAAAATTGAATCGTTACAAAACTAGCTATCATGCCAGGCAGGTAGCACATGACTTTAATCGCAGAACTCAGGAGACAAAGGCAGATGGATCTCTGAGTTCCATGCCAGCCTGGTTTACAAAGTTCTAGGACAGCCAGGGCTACACAGAGACCCTGTCTTGAAAAAAAGAAAAAGGGGAAAAAAAAAACCAACCAAATCTAGAAGTCTGGCATATACTTGAAATCCCATATCATACTGAAGAGGTTGAGGAAGCAGGACCATATCAAGTTCACGGTCAGTCTGGATTACTACACAGTGAATATCGGTTCAGCCAGGACTACACAGCAAGTCTCAAAAACGAAAGAGAGCTCAAGAGAGCCACAGAAAATTGAAGGCTTCTAGCCAGCCTGTAGTGAGCACACACAACTCCAGCAGTATAACTGAGGCAAACCAACCTCTTCAAATTTCTTTGTTTTTGCCACATCACATATCTGTCCTATCATACGGATGCGATTGTTGAGGCCACATTCACCACTCAGTTCCTAGAAAGGGGGAAAAGGAAAGGGCAATGGTTAGAAAAAAGAGGCCTCCTTAACTGCCAGTCACAAACCACCTACAACTTGTTCTGCATTTCACCTGTAAACTAATGTTTTTTTCTTGAAAACCAGTTTTACGATACATCCCAAGCTGACCTTGAACTCACATTACAGCCCAGGGCAACCTTAAACACCTGGCGATTCGATTCTTCTGCCTCAGCTTCACAAGTATGGGGATTACAAGGGCAAGCCACCATGTTCAACTGTACACCTTTTCTTGTTGTTTTTATTTTTTGTGTATGTATACCTGGGTGGCCTAGTGAGGACAAGTCTGGCTTCAAACTCACAGAGATCTGCCTGCCTCTGCCTCTAGAGTGCTGGGAATAAAGGCGTGCGCCACCAAACCTGGCAAGCTGCAAACCAGAATTCACAGAAGAGCTTACTTCTCCAGCTCTTGGACTGAAAGGCAGTAACTTTATTTCCCTAACTGAAGGTTTTGTTAGATAAAACTCACATAGCATAAAATATACCATTTTAACAACTTTATTTATTCATAGTAGCTTCCTATGTGACCCTGGCTAGCCTGGAACTCAGGCCAAGACTCAAGGTAGTCTTTCTGCCTCAGACTCCCAAGTGCTGGGATTATGGTCATGAACAACCAGTCTGGCCATTGTAATATCTTTAAGTTGCAAACTTCAGCATTATTACAGTGCTTACAATCATCTCCACTGTTTCAAGAATGTTTTGATCACCACAGAAAGAAACCACATACCATACCAATTCCTTCTTCTTTCCAGCTCCTACAGCCTTCTCTATGGATCACCTGTTCTGGACATTTCATACACTAAACTCATGCATTATGGAGACTGCCTATGTCCTTCATGTAGCATGCTTCATGTTGGGGCAAGTGTTACTATTTGATGCTTTCTTCTTTTAATTAATACCCCACTGTATACAGATGTATCATATTTATTTATAGCCATCATCAAATGATGAGTATTTAGTTTGTATCTAAGTGGAAGATGTTCCGAGTATAAAAGTTCAAAATTATTTATGGGTAAGACATACATGCAGGTAAGAAACCCATCCAGTCAGGCCACTGCGGCACACACCTTTAATCCCAGCACTAGGGAGGTAGAGGCGGTCAGATCTCTGAGGTCAAAGCCAGCCTGGTCTACAGAATGAGTTCTAGGACAGCTAGGGAAACAGAGAAAACCCTGTCTCAAAAAAACAAAAAAAAAGAAAGAAACCCATATACATAAAATAAAAATTAAAAATAAATAAACAAGTGGACAAATGTGAGTTACATATGACATGTGATGCCCCAACATACTGGCAATTGTCCATGTATGTTATATGTACCATATGTGAGAACTGGGCTACATCTTCACTACGAGGAAAAGCTGTCAGGAATTATCAGTTAACACCTCATCATGTTCCTAACCCAGTGAAAGGATGGCTTTCAGGTGACATCTAGAAGAGTGGGCTTTCTTTTCTGTGTTTTGCTTTTTTGAGACAAGGTTTCTCTGTATATCTGTATAGGCTCTGGCTGTCCTGAAACTCTGTAGACCAGGCTGGCGTCAAACTCAAAGATCCGCCTGTGTCTGCCTCCTAAGTGTTGGAATTAAAGGCGTGCACCACCACCACCCAGTTTTGTTTTGTTTTTTTTTCTTTAAGACTAGGTCTCACTATTGCCCCAGGCTGTCCTCCAACTCCATAATCCTATCTCCTCAGCCTCCCACGTGGTGAGTACAGGGCATCCACCATGACACTAGACAAAGTAAGATTTTATGCATTACCTAAACCCTAAAGCAAGTGCGCTAGGGCAGGTCACCAAGGTCCTGAGGAGAGATGTGTACATATGTCTGTGCAGTACTGGGGACAGCAAGCCTATGCAGACAGTCCCCAGCAACCCACCTCCCATAGAACCCAGTGACAGACAAACCCAGCCTTCCTTGAACTTCACGCAGGGCTAGCCAAAGCAGAGGCGGCTCACTCACTCTCAAGATCTCCGCTGTGATGATAAACTCCGTCTGTTTGCCTTCTGCACACCTGGGATTTGGCCTTGATGTTCCCAGTCCCAACAGTATCTTGAACTTCTCCTTCAAGCCTGAATCTTTGCTTGCTGGTTTGGCCATGGTGAGCAGGGCAGTACTAGGGAAGTGTTCTGTGCAGAAGAAACATAGTATTTGATACACCCGAGGAAGGGCTATGCCCTCCTGCCCTTGAGAAGAACCTCCAGTTGTCAGGATCCTAGGTCTAGGTCCTCCCTACAACCCCTGGGGCAACCCAATCCCAAGCAGGATCAGCCCAGGAGGTATCGGCCTGATCTAGCGAGTCGCCTGCCGTCCCGGGGGTGCACAGAGCGATACTATTTGCCATTAGTTTTCTTTTTAGGTGGAGGAAGAGGAGCTGTCGCGAGGACGACAGAAGCAGAGGCTAGCTCACACAAGCAATGGAAGGCTTGGAGCACTGGGACTTGACAGCGGTGGGCGCGGCCCAGGCTTGGATAGTGAAGGGTCAAGTCCCCTTCATCGCGACGCGGCCACACAATCATCCCGACCCACAACAGCGGCTGGAGCCTTGCAGGATACTCACCCCGCGCGCGCCCCCGGCGCGCAGGACCCTCCTGCAGCCAGGAAGGGCGCACACCCCCGACCCACGGCAGCTGCCGGAAGCGCAACCTGCACTTCCGGGGGCGAGGCTTTGCTGACTATCTGCGTTGAGTTTTCTGGGAATTGTAGTTCCGCGTGCGCGTTGAGCAAGTCGCGGGACCGCGGGGACCACCGGGATGTGTAGTTTACAGCCCCAGGCATGAACACCGGGATTCGGATGCTGACTCGCAGTCGGAGCCGCGCGCCTAGGATCACGGCAGAAGGGTGTGGGGAGGAGCTCACGCCGCGAGAAGCTCCTGCAGGTAGCACTGCGCCTGGAGGGGTTTTGGAGGAAAGGCGGGACGTGGAACTTTGGCTCCAAACTGAGGTCCCGCGCCGCTTGATCTGACCTTAAACCCTAGGCGGCGCGTAGTAGGCCGTCGGCCACAAACTCTTGAGTCTCACGTGCCCATGCCCCACTCAAGATTTTTCCAAGGGACTGGGACCCACAGGATCTGCAGGTGTCCGTAAGACTGCGTTCTGAGCCGGGCGGTGGTGGCGCACACCTTTAATCCCAGCACTCAGGAGGCAGAGGCAGGCGGATATCCGTGAGTTCGAGGCCAGCCTGGTCCAGAACAGGCACCAAAAACTGCAGAGTACAGAGAAACCCTGTCTCGAAAATCAAAAAAAAAAAAAAAAAAAAATTGGGTTCTGGACGTCTCCATTCATCCATGCTTGTCACCAGTTTCGGTCCAACAGCCTTGCTTGGGACATTTACTTGTACCAGCCTGGCTGGGGCACAATAGCTCAACCTCAGAGCTGCCTCTCTTTTCTTGTAGGGCCTGGCTGTGTGCCAAGAACACAACGAGCCAGAAGTTTTCTCCCCCAGCTGGACGGTGGTTCTGAAAGAAAACAGGCCCCTAGCAAAAACAGGAAAGGGCATGGCACTCATTTGTTCTGTAGCCATTAAGGACCTACTATGCTCCAAGTAGTGTTTCCAGGGGGCAGTTATCAAAGCCCCCGCACATCTCCAGCCAGGATTTAAGCTTGTGATTACAGCAAGAATGTGCATAGACACCAATGGCCCCAAAGCGGTTCAGGCATGGAGATGGCTGGGACCCAGGCCGAGACTCAGCAAGAGTCAAGTGCCGTGAAAGGAAGACAAGTGTTGATACTGTCAGGGCAGCAAATGCTTTGATGTTGGGAGAATTGGAGGACAAAGATTTCTGAGAGGGGAGTGGCACAGTGCAGTTTGGGTGTTAAGAAGTTCTCTTAAGGACTGGAGGGATGAGCTCAGTTCCCAGCAACCACATGGTGGCTCACAGCCATCTGTAATGAGATCTGGTGCCCTCTTCTGGCCTGTACAGGCCAGCAGAACATTATATGCATGATAAATAAATAAATCTTTTAAAAAAGTTTCTCTTAAATGCAACTCAAAGGGCATGGGACAGGGGAAAGGTTGCATCATCCTAGAGGCTGATTAGACATTACTAGCGTCTCGGTGTGCCAGCAGGCACTTTGTCAGACTGCCATGTCATGTTGTGACAGGGACAGAGCACTTTTACACGCGCCATGGTCGATAATGGACAGTTGTACAAATAAATAAGAGAGAAGTGAATTGTCAGGAAAGCAGCACCCTTACCCTACCCTCATATAAAACTCATGCTCCAAAGACTGAATGGCACTTTTAGCAGAAGGAAGAAAAAGCCACCTGCCTGTGAAACACCCACGGCAGACGCGGAAGCTACGTGTGGCCTATGAGGTTTCCGGTGGTGAGAAGGATGAGGATACTGAGCCCCTCAAAGTGCCAACGTGGGAGCCCCAGAACTGGCAGCAGCAACTGGCCAACATCCGAATCATGAGAAGCAAGAAGGATGCACCTGTGGACCAGCTGGGCGCTGAGCACTGCTATGATGCCAGTGCCCCCCCAAAGGTAGGCAGAACTACCTGCCCAGGGGATTCCTTCTCCTTCATGGAAGCAAGATGCTTGCTTCCTCTCTGATCTCTACCAAGAAAACAGACCAAGACCTGCCAGCTCTCGCAACTGACACCATCCCCTGCAGACTGCATGGTACAGTCTACTTCAGAGCACTGGGCACCATGCATCCCCTGTCATTCACTGTGACTACTGTGCATGTCAGGAGTGCCTGTGACTTGAGGCCTTGTGCACAGTGGTGGCGTTTGGCACCATTCAGGAACTTGAGAGGAGAGCCCCTCATATTGCACTGGTTCCGTAGACTAGCCTTAGCTGTAATCACCGTCTCTGCTGGATGGCTTGAGTACTTCTATCTCTGGGCCTTCTTGTCCATAAAATGAGTAGTGTTATCGTTGACCGAGTGATAATAGTAGCAACAGTAGCCAGTGGTTGTCTGGCATCGACTCTGTACTAGGTATGATCCCAAGTCATTCACTGGGGCTTCACACTACTCTATAGAGGCGGGTAATTAGTCCATGTAGGTGTGACAAAAAAGACCCTGCTATCCCTGATGGGTAAGAGGTCCAAGATACCAAGTAAAGATGGGTAAGAGACTTGACTCAGATCTGTCACCATGCTGGCCCCTGTCATTGCACAAACAGGTACAGAGGTACCAGATACTCCTGTCGCTGATGCTCTCCAGCCAGACCAAAGACCAGGTGACAGCGGGTGCCATGCAGCGCCTACGGGCCCGGGGCTTGACCGTGGAAAACATCCTACAGACAGATGATGACATGCTGGGCAGGCTCATCTACCCTGTGGGCTTCTGGAGGGTAAGCCTTATTTATACTTGGCAGCAGAGCCAAAGGGGGCAGTGGTCCAGAGATGGCGGACAGGCCATTTCTGACTACAGAGGCCTTTCGTGCTTCTGACCTGCCAGGAGTCTACACCATGGGGCTAGTTCCCTGTCCCTGAGGCTTTCGGATTTTCCTGTTTACATCTCTACATTCCTCTATCCTCCCACCTAGCTGCCTGCCCTTGCCCTTCTCCCCTTCCCCTACTGGGCTCCCTGGAGTACACCACTCCAAAGAGGCTGCCCCCCCTATTTCACAGAACCCTGTGTGGTGGGTGGATCTGTTGAAAGCAGCTCCGTGGGTGGGGCTGCTTCCCCTTGGCACCGCGTGGGCCACGTCTATCAGATTGGTTTTAAATAGCCCTCTCCACTCAGGCACAGGATGGGAACCACCCAGCTGGTCTGGTAGTTGCTTGGGGGAGCCCCAGACTCCAGCCTTCCTTCCTGAAGGTCCAGGTGCTACTGAATCTAGGTTCTAGGGAGAGAATGCCGAGGCAGGGGACCCAAGCTGGTTCCCACACATGTCATTGGCTCACATGAATGGGAGGAAGTTCTAGGCATGTGCTGGAGCCCTGCTAGGGGCTCCTTCAGCCCTCTTTGCTGCTTTTGGTTCCTCGGCTCCTGAAGAGGTGGGGCAGGTGGATACCTCTACATGGGACAAGGGCGGGTGTTGGGCAACTCTGGGTACCTGTGGGTCCTCCCCGATTAAGCTATGCCTCACCCCAAGGCTGACCCACACCATCTTTCAGAACAAGGTCAAGTTCATCAAGCAGACAACCGCCATCCTGCAGCAGCGCTATGAAGGGGACATCCCTGCTTCCGTGGCAGAGCTAGTAGCCTTGCCAGGTGTTGGACCCAAGATGGCACACTTGGCTATGGCTGTGGCCTGGGGGACTGTATCAGGCATAGGTGAGTGGCTTGTGCCTCACGGAGGGAGAAGTTAACTCTTGAGCTTGCTTGCCTCTGTTGGGGGTTCCCCAGTTTTGTTTTTTTTTGTTTTTGTTTTTTTTGTGAATTAAACCAGAGTATCAAAAGGGTGTTCTCAGTGCCGAGCAAACCAGCCTGCTCTCAGCAGGACACTGATGACAAGAACCCACTCTTGCTGATCTCTGAGGGACCTGGAAGCCATGTGGTCGCCACATACTGCAGAGTCAATGGCGAGTGCGTCACCTGTGGGAAGGAGACTTCTTGGTGGGTGGGTAGTGTGACAGCCCTGGGGAGCCTGACCCAGCCTCCAGGGATCTGGGGAGCCTTTTGTATTCATTGCTGTTGTTGTTGTTCGTTTTGGTTTGTTATTTTATTTTTGTTTGTTTGTTTGAGTTTTGGTTTGGTGTTTGGTTTTGGTTTTTCTAGGCAGGGTCTTTCTGTGTGGCCCTGACTGTCCTGGAACTTACTCTGTAGACCAGGCTGGCCTCGAACTCACAGAGATCCTCCTGCCTCTGCCTCCTGAGTGCTGGGATTAAAGGTGTGCACCACCACTCTCAGCTCCTGCCTCAGTTTCTTAAATCCTGGGATAATAATCATGCACCACTGTGCCAAACTCCAGGAAATCTTTCTGAAGTCATGTTTCAGTTTAGAGCTTCTGCTGAGTTAGCCAGACCAGGAGGTACAAGTATGTCCCAGGCAGAGGGAGTAGCAGACATAAAGCTAAATAACAAAACAGGAAACTCTAGAATAGGTGTGGCAAATCGAGGCAGAGGCAGAGGCTAAGGTGGTGGTGGAGGAAGAGGAGGGTGATTGCTGGGATGGGGAAGGAGGAGGGTCATTTCTGGATTCCCTTTTCTGGGTATCATCGTCTAGCATTTGAAGCACCTCTGCGTAGCTAGGTTGAAGACATACTCCCTGGGGCAGGGACAGACATGCTGCCTTCTCAGAACTTTGCCCAGAGTGGTTGGGGTTCCTGTGGTCACACAGAAACCAAGATTTAGCCCTGACTTCTCTTTGGGCCCCCAACCCCTGGCTCCTGCATGTGCCTGGTGGATGGGTTCCTTCAGCAGGTCTCTAAACCTGTAGCGTGGTAGCCCTGCCCACTGGGTAGAGGGCAGCGAGGGGCCCAGGACTTTGACTGGGAGCTGGTGACCACCTGTTGAGCCTGGAGAACAGCAAACCTTGGAAGAGCCTGACCAGAGGAAGTGGGCGAGGCCTCCCCACCTCGCACGGTCCGGTCCCCACTCCTCAGCAGCAGCCTCTTAGTCGACACTTGAGCTTATCTAGACTCCGTCCTAGGCTGCCTGTGTCCTGGGAGCGCTGTGGTGGGTGGCTGTGTGGGGGAAGGGCCCCTCCAGGGACCTGTGCTTCCAGTGGACAGAGCAGTATCTGAGCGCCGCCCACTTCTCTGTCGTCTGAGAGCCCGGTTACCTTCAGTGAGACCCCAGGGTTGCCTGCCAGGCAGAAGATACCCTCTCCACTGGAAAGCTAGAACTGTGGCGCTCTGACCCTTGCAGCTGGGTGACCTTAGGTCACACAGTTGACCTTTCTGAACTTGAGTTCACCGCCAGTGACGTAATCACCCTCCTTAACAACACAAATGTGTAGGAAGCCCCTCTGCCCAGCATAGGAGGCTCATACATGATGTGGTCCTGGACTGGGCCTCTGGGGTTCTGAGTAATATGATCACCTCTGTGTTACAGAGAAGGAAACTGAGGCTTAAAGCTTCCATCATGTGACACTGCCCCCCTCCCCCAGCCTGCACCCAAGCCTTTTCCCAGGCAGTAAGCAAGTCAGGGCTTGGAGACTGGCTAATGTTTGACAAACCTTGGGAAAGGCAGGGCAGGCACTGCAGTTGGCAGGCAGCCGCAGTGAAGGGATAAGGCTGAATCCCTGCAATGGGCAGCCAATAGGAGCGCAGCTAGAGTCAGCCCGACCCTGCTCTCCACTCTGTCCCCAAGAGCTGTAGTAGCAGGTGCCAGGCAGCTCTGTAACAGTGACCTCAGGCCAGCCCCCTGGGCTGGTAGGGGTGCTTAGGGCCCCAGAAGATGGCAGAGGAAGCCAAGCAAGGCCCTCCCTGATCCAGGCCCCATTCTTGAGGGATCAAGAATACACCTTTAGGGGTTGGGTTTTTTGTTTTTCCCAGGATAGGGAGTTGCATTTTTTGTGACAGAGTCTTACTCTGTAGCCCAAGCTACCCTTGAACTCAGTGCAATTCTACTTCAAACTTTCAAGTGCTGGGTTACAGATAGGAACCACCATGCCTGCGTCACACTGTTGGTTTGGCTGCTGTTTTTTGTTTGTTTGTTTGTTTGTTTTTTTGGTTTGACTGGTTTGGTGTGGTTTGATATTTGTTTTTTTTTGAAACAGGGCTTCTCTGTGTAGCTCTGGCTGCCTGAAACTTGCTCTGTACACCAGGCTGGCCTCGAACTCACAGAGATCCAGTCCTGGGATTAAAGGCGTGTGCCACCTACCCGGCTGCCTCACACTCTGACTGTTTTGTTTTGAAACAGGGTTTCTCTGTGTAGCCCTGGCTGTCCTGGAACTTGCTTTGTAGAACAGGCTGGGCTTTGAACAGAGAGATCTACCTGCAAGCCTTTAATCCCAAACCCTCAGGAGGCAGAGGCAAATGTATATCTCAGAGTTTGAGGCAACCCCGGTCTACATAGTGAATTCCAAGATAGTTGGGGCCATGAAGAGACCCTGTCTCAAAAAAAAGAGGAAGGTGCCTGCACCCCAGGTTGAGGGCTCAGACTCAGCCAGCCCTGCTGATACAATTCCTTCTTTCAGGCTCCATGGTTCCCATCTTGTTTAGAGGTCCAGGTGAGAGAGGCCTGGACTTTAGGGACTGGAGTTAGGGACGGGGTACAGTCCAGCTGGCAGAGTGCCCTTGTTCACCTTGCCCTGTCTCCAAGCAGCGGTAGACACACATGTACACAGAATCGCCAACCGACTGAGATGGACCAAGAAGGTGACCAAGACCCCAGAGGCGACACGCACAGCCTTGGAGGAGTGGCTACCCAGGTACAGTGTAGCTGGATGAACCTGGAGGAGGGAGCAGCCCTGCCATCTTCCACACTGACCTACCTCTAACCCTCACAGGGGGCTGTGGAATGAGATCAATGGACTGCTGGTGGGCTTTGGCCAACAGATTTGCCTTCCTGTCCATCCTCAATGCCAGGCCTGCCTCAACCAGGCCCTGTGTCCTGCTGCCCAGAACCTTTAAGAGTCACAGGGCTTCCTCTGGCCAGTGTCTGTGAAGTGCCTTTGTGGGAGGGGTAATGGAGTTTGGAGTCCGCAGGGCGTGTAATAAAGCTGGGGGGTTATTCACACTTGACCTCCAGTCCAGCTAATTTAGGATCGGGCCAAGAAGCACGTATGTGAGCGCAGTGTGCGCACGGCATTCACATGTCAGGGGCAGGACTGCCTGGGAGGCTGTGTGGGGACATAGTGTATCCTGGGGAGTAGGAGAGGGAGGGAGGGAGGGAAGAGCGAGTGGGGAGTATAAACCCAGGAGGGAGGAAACAGAGCCAGCTGCAGCCAGCTGCTGGGAAGCCTGCAGGGGGTGGGGGGTGTCCTTGTGAACTCTCACACTCTGTCCTGCAGCCCCAGCACTTCCCTGGACCTTCTAGCTTCTGAACTTGTGCTCAGCCTGTGCCAGGAACCCACCCCCATGTTAACAGGAGAACTCTAGAGACCTAGACTCTGGGCTGCTGGATACAGGCTTAACAGGACTGGTTTTGAAGTAGGAGAGGATGGTGTCATTCCTCACCTAAGGGTCTTCTGGAACGGGCCCTGCCCCTCAACTGAAGACTCAGAAAAGACACAGGCGCCAGAGTCCAAGGCAAGGCCTGTTTAATTTGAGGGTGCGCACGTGCGCTATGGCTTATGAGGCAGACTGCGGTGCCAATAAGTGAGTCTGGGCGTTGAAAGCACTGAGGAAAGGGCAGAGGGTGGGTGCCAGGTCGGCAGAAGGCAAGGGCCAGGCCCACCATCTCCAGGGTCCGAGCTGCAGAGCAGGACAGGGGTGGGTGGTCCGGAGCTCCCCTCTCGCGCAGCAGTCAGGGAACCTCCATCCCCGGGTCCCTCAGAGAGCCGAGGCATTGCATTCCAGAACCCGGCACGTGGGAGGCAGCGCAGGGGTAGCCAGGCGGAGGAGAGCCGCCTGGCCTAGGGACCATCCCTCACTAGGGAAGTTCCTACAGACACAGCTGGCCCTGTGGGCCGGCCCCTGGCTATCTGTCCCCTGGAGTCCCTGGTCTCTGCTCAGGATGGCGCTGCTGACAGGGTGGGTAAGAAAGGGTTTGCAGAGAAAGGTTTGTTTTATTGCAATTATTTAGAGAGTGAGTCCCGAGGGGGTGGGGGAGGGGGCTCCACTATTAACTAGAAACATATGTGGAGCTGGAGACCTTTTAGGAAAAAAAGCGAAAACATGAATTCCTTTCAGTCGGCAGGCCTGAGGCAAACAGCAAAGGCCCTTGGCAAACCACCATTCATAGCTCCTCCCTCTCTCACTGTGTCTCTGTCTCTCTGTCAGTCTTTCTGCCTGTCTGTCTGTTTCTGTCTCTGTCTCTCTCACACATCTCTGGGTTTCTCTCTTCCCTCATCTCGCTATGACATCCGCAGCACCCAGTGGACAAGACAAGGGGTCATGGGGTCATGGGTGTTTTCTGGGCAGCATGATAGCCACCCTCCAGTCTGCTGAGCTTGGGGAGCTCTGGAGAGGCCAAAGGTCCGTGCAGGAAGAGGCCCCGGGCTCCCGGATAGGCAGAGAGGGGCTCAGAAGTTGCTGAAGATCTCTCGCTTCCGGTTCCAGTCCATTTGTGGTGCCCGCTTGTTGACCCGGGTAGCTCGAGCCTTCTCCTTGGCCTCGGCTGCTGTGGGACTCAGGTGGAGGCCACTCTCCTGGAAGGGGTCTCGCTTCCAGGCATTGCCATCCTGGGTACAAATAAGGTGCAGACAGTGAGCCATATCCCTGGCAGCTGCCTCCCCAAGAACTTACACCAGAGGCCACCTCAAGGCCTAGGACAGCCAGCCCAGGAGGGTTCTTGGAAACAGTTCCACTGTCCTGGTAGGTATTTCCACAGAGATTAACTCCTAAGCCTCTGAAACCCTACGTGTGAACACCACAGCAGAATTACCTCATTGTCCTTCTCCGAGCCTGGCAGGTCGCTTCGGGATGAGCACACGGAGCCACCGTTGAGCTGGGTAGGAAACCAAGGGTAGGTTGTGGTTTTAGCCTCCCCATCCTGGTACACCTAGATCTTCACACACGCTCACATGCACACGCCCTCCTGCACACACATCAGCACAGCTGCATCTCATCTGTCCCTTGTTCAGCAGTGAGCATCACACGTCTCTCACTGCCTGGGCCAGAGCGGAACTGGCGCCTAGCAGTGAACAGATGAGCCCGATCTGGCCGGCCCTCATAGGGAAGAGCAGCTGTGGCAATGGGAGTTAGCTACGTGAGTGTCACCTGATGTCAAGCTAGGGCCAGCGTCCCAGGAAGGTCAGAACGAAGACGACTCAGTAGTCACATAGGAACAAAGCGTGGAAGGGTGGCCTAGGCCCCAGGTGCCCTCCCACCCTGAGTGAGCCCCAGTGCTGACCCCATATAGGATCCACAGTGGGTGTTTGTTTTGAGACAAAGTCTCTATGTAGCCCTGGCTGTCCTGGAACTTGCCATGTAGAACAGGCTGACCTCAAAACTCGCAAATGCAGGGATTAATGGTATATACCATCATGCCTGGCTAGCACAGTGGGTATTTTTGAGGTGACCAGTCAGATAGGTTTCACAACTGTACATCCTCAAGGGCAGAGGTCTCTAGGAGACACAACCTCTATCATGTCTGGGGACGCGGAGGTAACAGCCCACCCTCTCACCTGGGCAGGACTGGTCCCGTTTGTGACTGGTGATGGCAGTGGACCTGTGGGGACAGCATGTTAGTGACTGCACTGAGCCTGCCCTGTGCCCCTAAGGTAGTAGCCTACCTTCCACATGCTCCTCAGTGGGTATGACCCGCAACCGCTTGAAGTGTTCATCAGTCTCTGGATCTACCACCAGCAACCGGGCCTCATCCTCCCGGGCCTTGATTCTGGCAACAACTTCAGCATGGCGCAGCCCCTCCACATTCTGCCCATTCACCTGCCACCACCCACACAGGGTCAGAAAGGCCTGAGGGGCCCAGTCGGCCCAATGCCACCCAGCCAGGTGTGCCATCAAATATTCATCGAAGCCACCACCAGCCGAGGCAGCAAGAGGAGTGCCAGCTCAAGTTCCCTGTATCTCCCCTCCTCCTGCAGGGACCCAGAGCCCAGACGTGGACACTCAGGGACACAAATACACAGCAACCCAGGGTACCTCAATGAGCCGGTCCTGGGCACGGAGGCCAGAGTGGGAAGCAGGCGAGCCCGGGTCCACAGAGCGGATGTATTGACCAGGGCGGGACTTGTCACTATGCAGGTTGAACCCATAGCCCTGGGGTCCCTTTCGCAAGTGGCAGAGCCGGGGACGCAGCTCTCTCGGGGGCCCATTGACATCCTGTAGACATAGGAGAAGACATCAGGCTCTGCCCCAGCCTCCCAGCCCTGTGCTCTCGGGAACCAGCCCCAGGTTTCATTGACAAATATTCTATGTGCCCCATGACTGAGGAGCTTAGTAAAGCTGCCTGTAACATGGGTTTAGTTGTGTGGGGGGGGGTTAGTGACAAAGCCTGTTCCCAAACATGTAAACCTCTAATGAGATGGCTGCTGGCAGAAACTATAGAAGAATTCACAGAGGTCACACAGCACAGCTTGAGGAACCAGATGGGATAACAGCCCCCATCACAGGCCGGAGCAAGATTGTGCCTTCAGGCTTCACCTCCCCCTCCTCCTCTTCCTCCCTTCCCTAGGGCTGGTGCCTTGGAGGCCTGAGAAGCTTTGTTTTCTCCCGAAGGCCTCCAAGAGTCTCCCAGGGCTGTGTGGCAGCTGCTTGCTTTTGAATTCCAACACTAACTGGAACCACTGCCCCCACCTCATGGGCCCGGAAAGAAGAGGCTTCAAGTAGATGCTGTGAGGACAACTCCTAGACTACAATGCTTCCTAGCCCACAACACGGAAGGGCTCATGGTACCCACGGGGAGCCCCCACCACTGCCCCAGGCTGCCTTGTTTTACCTCTGGCATCCTGCAGTAGATCTCTGGGCCAGCAAGCTATCAGGCAGGGGCCAGCCTTTTGACCCCCTACCCCAGCCAGGGGCCAAGCCAGAGACAGTTGCTGAATGGCCAGCGGCTGCCGGTGCCCAATTACACAGGGCCAGTGACCGGGGTGGGCAGGCAGGTGGCAGCTCAGGTTTCTGGGTGTGTGTGCAGGTGACAATGTGCTGGCTGGGGGTACTTCCCTCCCTGTCCACTACTACCCCTGCCCCTGCTGTCTAAGAGACCACAGAGCAGGGTCCTTAGGGTCTCAAGGCAGAGTTATAAATCTCAGGCACCTGTCTCCCCCAACCCAGAATACCTCTGACTATTCCAGCTGCCACTATACCTCCCTGTTTAGTGTTTTGGTGAGAAGGTCCCACGTTGTAACCCAGGCTAGCCTCAAACTCAAAGTCACCTTTATTGCCAGAATTACAGGCATATGCCACCATGCCTAGCTCCAAACCCTAAATGTGGTGTTAGCCATGTTCATGGGTAGCAGCCAGCCACAGGAGTAAGTACATCTTTCCATGCAGGGCCACTTTTAGCTTTAGGATTCTGGGATGTCTCCTCAACCTAGATACCCCCTTTTTGTCTAGCCTGCACTCAGGACCCTTTCCTTGACCCCAAAGCCCAGCTGGATTCTCCTGTGACCCCTTGATGCACAGCCACCATCTGCCTCATTACACCCAAGAATTACAGAGGTTAAATGTTCTCCAGTCCCCCTGGGGCTCGGCGGGACAATCTTGGCTGAATTCAGGGTTATAAGGCCTCCGAGATTTACAGAGCCCCGCTGCATAGATCTGTCAGCAGACACAGCTGAAGGTACAAGTACAAGGGCTTTGGTGCAAGGCCCTGATGGCCCCTGACAGAGGACCTGTCAAAGCACCCTGGGACAGCCAGAGACTAGTTCACAGGGGAGAGAGACTGAAGCGGAGAGCGTCAACACAGTGCGAGGGACTGTGTGGCCACTCCTGGAACAATGACATGTCCTAGGAGGCAGGCCCACATCATGTGGCCAGAGAGACAAGACATCCAAGCTTACACTCATAAACAAGCAACACGGACACACACAGCCACCCACACATGCAAGTTTATGCCATGGCACTGGTCCCTGTGGCCTCTTCCCACGGCCTCTGTGGTAGCCTACAAGGCAGGGTTTCTTGGGGCTCCCCAATGGGAAGTAGGTCTTGGCAAGCTATTGTGACCATGAAACTAGGGGCTGTTCTGACCAAACCCCCAGCCGCAAGTCAGACCAGTCCCCTCTCAGCACAGGCTGAAAGATCCCTAAACCGTCTCTGGCCACAAGCAGAGTCTAAATAGTGCCAGGCCTGGCATAAGACCCTCAAGTACAGGGACTGCAACACACCCTCAAGCCCGTGGGGTAGAGGGGGGCAAGCAAGTGGGGGTAGGGTGCCCCCACGAGCAGTGGGAGGGGTGCATTGCTGGAATTCTTCCTCCCAGCCCTAGCTGTGAGCACACTTCCTGCCTTCTTCAGACAGGCCCTCTGGCTCCCACGGGCTCTGAGACACAGAGCCATAGAGCTGGGCAAGCCCCAGTACCCCTGCTGAGCCTATAGCAAAACAAAGGCTGATATGGGGGTGCCCTAGGAGCCAGGCTCTGCCCCCCCACCAGATAATGACTCACCAGCCCCAGTAGAGAAAGGCCCCCATTGTTGCTTGGGGTCCGTCCTGCAGGCACAAACATCCCCAAGTTCCCTGTCCCTTCCCAGAGACTGAGCTAAGGCTGGGGTCCCGACAGTTCGGCTCTGCCCCCACTCCACCTGACCTGACCTGAACAAGCCCCCGATGGAGGTTCTGTGGAGATGCTCCTGGGGCTGAGGCAGGCAGCATGGTATTCTTGGAGCGAGCCATGAGCGGTGAGCTAGGAATGGCAAGCCGCAGGTGACCCAGCCTGGAGTGGCCCGAGCTCTTGGGCCAGCCGAGACTGCCACCCTACTTATCTACCTCCCGCTGTGGCCCAGGTTCCCTGGGGATGGGTGGGGACATAGGGGCTGACTCACTTTGGGTAGCAGGGTGGTTACTGAACCCCCTCCCCTGTCCGGCGCCCCCCACACCCAGCTGGGTTTCCGTCCCAAGAAAGGAAGGAAGGAAGCTGCTGGGAGGCCCTGCCCTGCTCCAGGACCCAGGGCAGTGGAGACAGGGAATCAAGGGAGGGGACCTTGGCTAGAGAACAGAAGACAGTGGCTGGGGGAGGGAAAAGAGGACAGAAGGAACCAGAGGAGACCCAAAAGCTTGGCTGCTGTCATTTTGCTCCACAGCATCCTATACCGCGAACTCCCCACCTGTAGAGTTACACCATCCCCGACTCGGTCCCCAAGTCCTCCAGGAGGTACAGACACCGTAGGACCGAAGGGGTGGAAAGGCATGGTCTATCACTACCTCCCTATCCCTGGCACTACTAGCTGCTAGGTCTGTTTGGGGGCTGTCCCTGTCATCACTGCTAGAATCAGCTCACTGCAGCTGCAGCCACCCCCAACCCTGAATGGCCTGGGCTGAGTCACCACTGACTAGGCCTTCCCGCCCCCAAAGGGAGGGGCAGACCATATCAGTATTCTCCGCTGTCTCACCTCCCCTATCCTGCAGGCGGGACAAGAGACACAAGTTCAGGGTGGATGAGAAAGCCCCAACCTCCAATGGAAGCCCCTAGTGGGCACCCCGCCACCGCAGAGCAGAGGTATACATACTTCACCAGTCTGTCCAGTCCCCAATCCCCCCATCATCTGAGGCTCCCACACCCAGCCTAAGGCAGGCTATCTTAAGCCTGGTTTGTAGAAGTCATAAGAGGCTCCCCTTTCTCGTCCACGGGAAGACTGTCCCTTGGGCTCCGATACCTCCTAGAGTCCTTGTCCCTAGATCTGACCCATCTACAATGGGACAGGCCCATTGTACCCCCTTTTGTTCCTCTAAAAATACGCCCAGAGGAAGCCCCCTCCTAAGGCTTCCTGCAGCCCCTCCAAGCCTGAAATAGCAATGGCAGGGAAGGACCCACCCACAGTCAAGGGGCCTGGGCCACCCCATCTCCAGATAAGGTCCCAGGGTGGATTTTTCCACAGGAAGGTGAACAGGGCTGTTTGCATCTAAATGAATGGACATGGGGGAGGAGGGATCTTCTTCCTAAGAAGGAGAAATGGGTGCTTGGGAAAAAGGGAGGCTCTTAGTCCTCAGACAGAGGAAGGTGGGCCTGGCACCATCTTGTTCCCTCAAGATTCCTTCTAAAGACTCCTGATCTTAAACAGCCAGAGGGCAGAATCCAGATGCCAGGGGTTGGCCCTCAGGTCTCTAAGAAAGAAAAGAACCAACAGGCTCAAAGCAGACACCTTTGCCCAGGTTGGCCTTGTCACTGGGATATCATCTCCCAACCTCCAGACAGGTCCCACAGGGATCAGCACAGACCCGACCAGCTAAAGTAGGAGACACTGGGGAAGCCTCCAGCCACCCTCAGCCAATGGCTCTCAGAGCTGGATGTGGGGATTAAAAGACATAAGAGACAGTAACACCAGGCCCTCCAAGAAGCAGAACAAACAGCCTCAGGCCCTTCCTCCTGCCCCAGGTCCTGCCTAGGTAGCTACTGGGAAGGAGGAACAGATCTTCCCCTGTTTCTTCCAGGTCACCTATCCTGGAAGGAGACAAGGGGGAGGTGCTACCCAGGACAGCACATAGGGGTTTCCTAGGGGAGGGAAGTCAAGGAAAAGACCCCTTATAAGGACCCACACACAGCTCCCCTGGGTGCCAGCTCCTGTCCTCGGTCCCATTTCCCTGGAACCCTCCATCCCACTATAGCAGGATCTAATCCATCCAAGGCCTTCAGAGCACATGAATGGCTTAGACAGAGACATGGACAGAGCCCAGGACAACAGATATCTAACAGACACTCGGTGCCTTAGTGTCCCAGCAGCCCCGCCCAAGGCCCCTCAGTCAATGGAACCTGAAGTAGAGGGAACAAAGACAGAAAGAGTAGCCACAGCGGTCACCAAGGGCATAGAGTGGGGCTGTTGCGGTAGGGAAAGGGCGCTGCTGGGATGATCAAAGGTGATCAAAGTGAAAATTTTATCGGAGGCAGTGATGGCAGTTCTGGAAAAGGCTCATTGTCCCCCCACACACAGCCCACCATACCTTCTGGCCAGTGTCCGAGCCAAGGCTGCCCGAGCGTGCCCAGTCATGCTTTGGTTCCCAGGGGTTGTGGACTGGTGGAAGGCCTCGATGGGCCATCTCCTCGGTGCAGGTCAGCTGCCGTCTGCTGAGCTCCTCATCCGTCTCCTTGTCCACCACGAGCAGCCGAGTCTGCCCCTCCACAGCCTTGATCCTCTGGACCACCTGGAATGGGTGGGTAGCAGGACCAGCTCAGCTGCCAACACCGGGGGCAGCACACGGATGAAAGGGCACCACTCCCGGCTAGGCACCGCTCACAGACAGCAGGCCAGGGGTGGGTAGCTGGACTGAGAGGCCGGCGAGCTCCACCCCCCACCCCCAGTTTCCAGTAGCTCCCTCCCCTCTGCTCCCTGGAGCTAGGGCCCGGGCTGCAAGGACTTCAGGATCCTCTTGTGGCCTTGCATTCAGCTCAGGTAAGGACAGGAAGGAGCAGCCAGGAGCAGCCCGACGGGAGAGTCAGAAACTGTTCAGGTGAGCTTCAGGGTTTGAGTCTAGTCTATGCATATGTGTGTGCTTATCTGTGTGTGCTTTGGGGTGTATGCATGTGTGTGTGTGTGTGCGTGCGTGTGTGTGTTTAAGATGTCTTTTGGTCTAGGTGTAGGAGAGAGTTGGTCCCAATGTGAGTATTTGGGTCGATTTCTTTCTCTGAGATGCAGTGTGACTCTAACACCCAGCAAGATCTCAAACTCCAATTTGCCTCCAGACCAGGACCAGAAACCGTTCCTGTTGGACCTGCAAAAAAGGAAGACCTCAGGCTTATACCTAGGGTGCTTCAGGGAAGCAAGATTCGGCTCCAGCAGGTGAGGCGAACAGTAGCAGGTACAGCAGGGGAAGAGGTGTGACTTTACAGCCATCTGTGTGTCTGGATGGGTGTCTGTGAAGTGCGGAGAGCCTTTGGGCCACCATGGATCGTGCAGGATGTTAACATGAGTTCAAAGGGAGACATGCCAACTGGACATCTGAGGGCAGGAAGTGTTAACAACCAGCACCCCCCGCAGTCTGGGGGGGGGTGAGAAGACAGGATCCCCATCATTATTTCACTTAGTGTCTGCTATCACGGATAGGAAGGTCAGACCCACATCCATCTTCACCTGTTCCGTCAGGGATCATCGTCTCTCCCCACGACCAACAGAGCAGAAGGATCCCAGCACCCTGACACTTCTGGCATGAGAACCAAGCCAGTCACCCACTATCCGTCAGTAAAATGGAGTCATGGTTTTACTTCCTATCTTCCTGAGCAGTAGGAGGTGCCTAACGTGGCTCCATGCGACAGTTTTTAGAGACTAGCACCCCAGAAACCTGGTGTAAAACAGGTGGATTCCGGGAACTGCTAGAGGCAGGTGACACCAACTCTGCCGGCCTCTCCCTTGCCTTGTGTGCCAACCTTTGGGCTCTACTCCCATCTCTTTGGCACACCACCAAATCCAGTGGTCACTGTAGGTAGAAAGCAGGCCTGGTGGAGGAGAGAGGAATTCAACTTGTGGCCCAGCAAGAACCACCCTGCTTTCTCCAGGCCCACAAGTAAGTCATGGACATGCTTGGTGCTGGGGGATCCAAAACAGAAATGGTGGAGGGAAGCTGGACCCTTGCCAAGGTCTGAGGTGCGTCTACCCCTCAGTGGGATACAGACACCCCAGGGGTAAAACCTGCAGAGAAAACAGCCTTCTTTTAGCTTCCCGAGGCAAGAGCTGGAGAGTGACCTTTACAGAGCCAGGCAGCCTCTCAGGAGGAGGCTCTTTCAGAGACCAAAGAATACGCTGCCCCTAGAGCTGACTCGGCCAGACATACTGGTCCATGAGAAGTACTAGTATAACCAGGCATGCAGACACACATACACACACACACACACACACAGCCGGCACACATGCTTGAAGTGTCCACGCAACCCTAGACACACATTCCAACACTGACACAAGTATGCTTTCACCCTCTCCTGGAACAGTTGGGTAGTGTGCTCATATGGATGACCCCAGAGAGACCTGCAAGCACACACACGTACTCACACACTGACAGAAAAGCATCTGTACCACAAGGCCACAAGGTGCCTTAGCCACCTCCTCCCCCTCCATGGCACACAGAGGCCAAAACTAGCAGAAGCAGCCAGGGCCCTGGCCAGAGTAGCCGCAGTGCGGCCCCTCCCTACCAGGATGTCCTCCCTCCCCCGCTAGTGCAGGACCGAGCTTCCTCACCAGGAGGCCAGCTGGCGGGCCACGTCCCACACCTCGACACCGAGCCCAAGCAGGCCCCTGTGCGACCCTTGCCGAGTCCCACTATGTAGCACGCAAAAGGGGGGGTCGTTGGCATCTCAGCCGGCGCTGCAGGGACGCGCCCCCAGGAGGGAGCCGGGGGCGGGGCGCAGCGCGGGGACCCACCTGGTGATGCGTCTCGCCCTCTACGTTGACGCCGTTGACCTCAACCAGGCGGTCCCCGGCGCGCAGCGCGGCGGCCTCGGCTGGGGAGCCTGGCTCCACGCGCCGGATGAACTGGCCGCGGCGGCCCTTCTCGCCATGC